AAGCAAGATATGATGTATGTAATGCGAATGAATGAATGAAAGTAATCAAACGATTTTGTAAGATAATCTAGGTTCCAGAAGACTAAAAGCGCTAAGTCAGGATAGTTCGCAGGTTGAATCCAAGAATGTATGATGCAGGAAATCAGGAATGATTAAGAACCGTTTTAAACATGAATCACTGATGTATAACTAATCAATTCTCATTGCAAAAGTTATCTATGCCTAAATCACAGAGTTTCAATTCTCTTTGCAAACCCTAACAACCTAAACATGCAGGACTGATCAGATTCAATTGTTTACAAAACTCCTAAGCCAAATCTCTCTGCACTAAGTTGCTTTGCTCATCAAATACTAGTTCAGGTTATGAATAATGCTCTCACATATATTTAACAACCTAAGATTTTCGGATTCCTAGATGATGTGTCTCAGAAATTCGATTTTAAAGCAAGCAGAGATGAAAAACCATAAGATATTCCTAACAGATAGTGATTCTACAATCCTTTCATCAACCTTTGAAAAACCCTAACTTAACTAGCAGATTACTGAGACATGATTATGAGATCACAAAACATAACTGAATAAAATTGCATTAAGAGAAAAAGTAAGAAATAAAGGGGGTTCGAAATATTCTCAAAAGAGTACAGGATTTGTCTCCCCAAAAAGCTCTGAAATAAATCTCTCTCTAAGCTCTCTGAATTCTCAAAAACTAAGATAATAGCCAACAATGGCTGAAAAACCTAATAAATAGAGGCTAAACACGATATGGGGTCTTCATGTAAATAAAAGAACTTCTGGGCCAATTCTGCAAATCTTCTTCATACTTTTAATAAAACAGCCACGCTCCTTCCTTGATGGGTGACGAGCGTCACCAAAGGTGGTGACGAGCGTCACCATATGTGATACCTTATGCTTCGAGCTTGGTACTTCGTGGCTTCAACCCAGAATGCTCCAAAAGGTTCCAAAATCTCCAATTATGCTCCAGACATGCTATAACCTGCAAAGACTCTTCTAGGACTCTAAAAAGACCAAAAAGACTCAATAAAAAGGATTTATATCATGGTTAAAAACCATAAAAACCATGATATATCACTTGCTTGACTACATGATTTTTTGCTTACTTGACTACATGATATCTTGCTTGCTTGATTACGCGATTACTTGTTCGTGTAATGTCATGCTTCCCTGCTCGCATAGCTCAACGATTATCTTGTTCAGGTAGCAGGATAACTGCTCTCCCTCATCACGATTACGCCCTATCAGCACCATCTTTCTCCTCCCTTTTTCTTAGCATGCTCCCTCGCGGACTTGCTAGTCTTCCGGAACACCATTCTTCTGAGAATTCAGGACTCTAGTCAAAGCAGGCCTCGTGTCCCTCTTGCGTTAGCTCCCTCTGGGGACAGCGTGCACCTTGAGCATGCTCCCCTGCGGACTTGCTCGCCCTCCGGGGTACCCTCCCTTCGGGATTCCAAGGCTCCGGCCTCTCAGATCTTCTGGTCTTCTTCGTCCCCTCCAGTGGGCCATGCGACAAACCATCATGCTCCTCAACAGGACATGCTTGCCACTCAGGCACCACATAAATTGAGGTCGCTGACTCGCATGCTTTCTCTTCCTGATAATTTCCCGACCTCTTTCGCTTCGGGGTATGCCACAAGCACGTTCTCAAAACCCAGAAATTTCAGCGTAAGCACAACGCAAAGACTGTCCAGACTGTAAGGGAGACGAGGTAACGCCCTTTGGAAACGCCATACTCCGCACCAGCTGCATTCGAGTAGCGACCCCTCCTTGCGTTAGTGCTCCGCAACGCAGGGAACATCTATTTAAAACTATTTGACCAATCAATTTCTCATTTCTCGTTATAATTCTATCTTCAACCACATATCAAGCCATTTTAATAATAATAAATCTAGTTCCATTGCATATTCCACCCATAGGATCATGTTATGGAAACACATGACTGAAGTACCAACCTTTAATTTCAAGCAATGTTTCGGTAATTCAGAAACTTAGATACTTTTTAAAACTTATTTATTTTTCTAATAATTATAGTGACATATCATTGTAATATAAAAATTATATTAAATAATAATTAAAAATTTCCAACATTTTTTTGAAAATTATATATACTATGTTTTATTTTCTTCTTACACAATATAATCTTGCTAATACATATATATTTTAAGTATATATTTCTTTCTTGATCTATACAAATTAAACAAAAATAGTGTTTACCATCTTTACTAATCCTAAGAGCAGGTAGATTGTTAGCATGTACATAGAGATTTCAAAAAATAAATATAAGTTGTCTAATTATTAAATTAAAAATTAAACTGTAATAGAAGTTAACAAAATGCATGCACGACAAATTTGCATGCGACTTCGACTTTTATGCAATTAATATTCATATTTGTACGCATATATTTTTTTGAAAAATCGAAGTATGGTTTTTATGCGTTAAAAGAAACTAACAAAATATATGTTCTGTAATATGTAATTTTATAATGTATGTTTGAATTTTAAAAATAAATAAATATGCATGTTTATGCATGCATATGCGAGTTTAAAATAAAATTATAATATTTAGGTTGATTAGTTTTTTCAACACTTTCTACAAACATTATGTTTTTACAAGGTTTTGTTTTTGGCATTTAACGACAATCACAAAAGCTGTTTTGTATTTAGTTGTGTTTTTTATTTTATTTTTTTTCTAGCGTTTTTGATGCGGTTTCAAATTAAAAATTATATTAAATAGTAATAAAAGTATAAAAAAATTCTAAAAAAATCAAAACTAAATATTTTAATTTACGCAATGAAAATACATATTGTACATTAGATAATCTAATATTAATTTTCTTATTTCAATAAAAAAAATGAATAATTTTTGAAATAACTCACTTAGCACTTTTATTACAAAACATGACCCTTCCATAAGAGGGGTCTACTAGTTTGCTTTCAATCTGCTATTAGTCTACCAGTAATTTGCAATTAGTCTACTACTAGTCTGCCAATAGTCTATATTCAATTATATGACCAATCAGTCTGCCAGTAGTCCGCATTCAATCTGCCGTTAGTCTGCCATTAGTATATCATTAGTCTGCAAATAACAGTAGTTAGAAGCATAGTGATGGTATTTATAAAAATCGTTAAAAATGTCATTTTCACAATTTTCCCTCATTGAGGTACCCATTTCACATTAGTTTATCATTCTGGATTATTTTTGAGTATTTCCTCGTTAAAAAAAGAAAATTTATTAAAAAATTTGTGAAATCATATTTTATAAAAACTTTTGGCACCTCTCTACTCTTCTCTTCGTTTATTATTGAAAAAATTAGATTGATGAAGAAAATAATTTTTGTAAGGTTGGCCTGCATGCATGTGTTCATTATAAATTTTGACAGCAGATGAGTTCAATATATATTTGCTTCTTATAATTTTTAAATAAATATGTAAAACAAAGCACGAGAGCTTTATGGAAAACCTAAGAATGTAGAGAAATATTTTTGTTTTAAATTTTACTTCGTAATCATATTTTATGCAATCTATTATAAATATATGTAAAAATATATATAATAATAATTATTTTCTGTTACTTTAAATTTTTTAATTTTAGTGTTACACTAAAATCTCTTTAAATTAACACTCGATAAATTAATAAATTTTGCTGGTACTAACTCAGCCCAATAAAAAAATTAACAAATTCCAATACGGTAATATTTTTTTGAACTTCTATGTAAAAATATGGTCAGAATAATTATGTGGATTAGTAATTATACATTTAAACATATATAAATAATATAGTGTAGTAATATGATTATATTGTTGTTTTAATTTTATTAAATTTGTTTGATTTATATTCCAAATTCATTGTTAGAACATTTTCTGAACGAATCTCACATTGTTGAAAATATTGATTTTTTTGTCTTTTGATGAATATTAAGAATTTGAACTGAAAAATATCTTTATAAATTAATAAAATATTATTCAATTATTAATTTCTAGATCAATGAAAACTCTATATATTAATAAAATTGTGGGAGTTCCATGATTATTAATTTATAGAGATTTTACTGTATGATCTAATGTATTTATGTTATAATTTCATAATTTATTTAGTTATAGTTCAGCTAATCATAACATTTTATTTAGTTTAGAAAATTTGCCATGTCACATTTATATATCACTATAAATATACATTATCTTTTCATGTGGTGTTGACAAGTAAGTTTTTTTCAATAATTGTACTTCTCAAATAATGTGTAGGGGATGTTCTGATTGGTTTTTAATTTTGATTAATTGTCAGCTTTAGAAAGATTAAAAAATCTGATGTGTCAACATATGGAGAGACTTGATGTTTTTAGTGTATTGATTTGATTTTGACACCTCTCTTCGTTAAATGACAGCCGAGTAATTTTATGTAGGTTTGATTTGGTTTGATTTGTAAATAGATTATAATTGCCGGTATCGGCTTGATTTAAATTACCGGAGGGTTCCGAGTACCGGCTTAATTCAGCAAGTAATCGGATAATAAACCAGATAATTCAAATGAAACGACACAGAGTTGTGCATCTTCCGAGTCACAACATCCCCTACTGCTAGGCTAAAAAAAAGTGTATTTTTTTCATACTGGTAAAATCATGTTTTTCCAGTAAAATCGAGAAAATGCGTTTTCCAGCCAAAACTAAGAAATCGTATTTTTCCACAATAAGCAAAAATGATGTTTTCCTACCAAAATCATCAAATTGTATTTTTTTGCAGAAACTGTAAATTTCTGTTTTTTCCTCTAAAACTGAGAAAATTTTATTTCTTTGCCAAAACCGAGAAATCGTATTTCCCGTCAAAAATTGAGAAATCGCATTTTCTCATCAAACCTAGAAAGTTACATTTAGATGGAACATTTAAATGCATCATTTGGATGGAAGTATCAGATGAGTAACATGCCCTTATATGTTTTTTATGTCTTTTTTTTATCAAACCTTAGATTTTACTTGAAACTAGAATGTGGATTACATCTCCACAAAGGGAGTAGTTTGGGCCTGGGCAAAGGCCTCTGTAGCAACCAAATCGGCTGAAACATTGTTTAAACGGAGCACAAAAGAAAAACAGATAGAATCAAAGAAGCTGCTCAACACGCGAATGTCGTGGAGGATTCTTTGGATCTCGACGGTATTGCCATTGCCTGTGAGAAGAGTGATGTGATTTTTAGAGTCTGAAAAACAGTTCAGAGCTCTAATACCCGAAGAGACTGCATCGAGAAGAGCAGATTTTAATCTAAGTCCTTCCGCCACAAAGGCCGAATCAACACAGCTCCGACATGCAGAGTTTTGGCGGAGGAGGGCCTCTGATCCTGTCTTGAAGATCCATCCAAGACCACAGATTCCTGATGTCGGATTCCAAGCTGCATCCACAAAGCAATTGATATCCGATGGAAAGGATTTCTTTTGGTAACGCGATCTGATCGGCAGAGGGGCAACCCGTGTTTTATCAATCTAATCCTAGGCCAAATGCCATTCCTTTGCAACCCTGATTGACTTGCGAGCCACTTCTTCTGCTGTGTAGCTCTTATATTTGAAGAGGAATTAATTCTGGCTGGTCCAGAACACCCATGGATAAAATGGCGTGGAAGAGAACCCAACTTGTGGAAGATTGATCATACACCGACAGCTCTGTAGCAGGTCCGAAATGAAGGTCGGGGTGGATGGCGGGGGCTTGTGCAAAGCTGGGATGGAATCCCATACGCGAACTGAAAAGGAGCAATGAAGCAGGATATGAGATTCATTTTTTATTGCTCCGCATTTCTTACATGAGCTGTCCACAGTAATGCCCCTCATTGCCAGCGTTTCCCCCACATGGAGGGCTCTATTCTTCAACTTCCAGAGGAAGGTTTTTAGATTTGGGGATGTTTTAACCTGCCAGATACATTGGTTCCAGTTGAAGGGAACATCCGGGGCCCCGATCGTGTTGATCTTAGAGTGTAGCCTGATTTGGTGGAATACACGCCAGATTTTTTTGGTAGCCAAGAGAACTCATCCCTCATATGAAATGTGCTTGGGATGAGCTTCCTAATATAGCTCTCATACTGAGGTAAATGACGACGAATCTCAGAGAGATTCCAATCATCTATTCCTTGGATCAAAAGATCTTGAACCCTAAGGTCTTTGTTAGCTTTAGTAGGCGGTCCACATGGAGATAAAGAATGGGAGGTCGATTCCCAGTTTGTGTTCCAAATATTAACATGTGCGCCATCTCCGATAATCCATCCTATACCTTTTCTTAGGACTTCTCGGCCAGCTAAAATACCTCTCCATCCATGCGAAGAGGCTGAGTGAAGGGAGAAGTCCATAAAGGGAACTGAGTGACAATATTTTCCCAAGAGTTTTTGGGAGAGCAGTGATTCCGGAGCCTTGAGGACCCTTTAGGAGAGTTTGGCCAGCAGTGCATCATTGAAGATCTCAATTTTCCTGAAGCCTAAGCCTCCCTTGCTCTTTGGGAGTGTTAGTTTTTCCCACCAAGCCCAACATATCTGCTTCTTTCCCAGTTTGCTTTCCCACCAGAAGCGAGTGAGGACTGATTGGATCTTCTTGCATAGAGAGAGGGGAAGCTTGAAGCAGGACATTGCATAAGAGGGCATAGCCGAGAGGACTGCTTTTAGTAGTATCTGTTTGCCTGCACTTAAGAGGGACTTTGAGGACCAGCTGTGGGCTTTTTGGCGAACACGGTCAGCAATGCTTGTGAAGATGTCTCGTTTCCTCCTTCCAAAGTGTTCAGGAAGACCCAGGTATTTTACGATGCCCCCTTCATTAAATATTTGGAGGCTCTGTTTTACCCGTATCTTAGCCCCCTGAGGGGTTTTCGACAAAAAGATGATCGCTGATTTTGTCAGGCTTATACTTTGCCCTTAAGCCATCTCATTCCGTTTGAGGATCATCAAGAGGGTGTTGCAACTGTTGGTATCACTACGACAGAAAAACATGATGTCGTCAGCAAAAAGGAGGTGGTTGATTGGGGGTGATCCTTTGGCAACTTATATACCCGGAAGAGATCCGCTTTCTTGTGCCGTTGTGCATAGTCCCGACAAGACCTCAATGTAGATGATGAAGAGACACAGTGAGATGAAGTCCCCGTGCCTAAGCCCTCTGGATGGTTGTATTCTCGCATGAGGGGATCCATTTATCAAGATGAAGTACGAGACTGAGCATACACATTCCATAATCCCGGAGATCCACATGTCGTGGAAGCCAAACTGAAGCAGAATTTTCTGGAGGAACCTCCATTCAATCCGGTCGTAGGCCTTGCTCATGTCAGTTTTAACTGCCATGGAGCATCTCTTTGTGGCTCTCAAGGTTCTGAAGTAATGGAGGACCTCATGTGTAATCAACACATTGTCAGAGATCACCCGTTTTGGAACAAAGGCCGATTGTTGTGGCGAGGTTAGCTGGGGAAGCAACGATTGCAGCCAACGAGTTAGAATCTTGGCTATGATTTTGTAGTGAGTGTTGCAGAGCGATATCGGACGGTAATCTGACACCTTTTTTGGTCCTTTGATCTTTGGGATAAGACAAATATATGTCTCATTTTGTCTATGATGCAGGGAGCTCGATTCAAAGAAGAGCCTGATATCTTGTGACACATCAGAGCCAATGTTATCCCATAAGGACTGACATAAGCCACCAAGAAGCCCTCAAGTCTTGGTGCTTTGTCTGAGTTTTTGAGAAAACTGCTTGCTTGATTTCCAGAGCATCTAGTATCTTGATGAGATCGCTGTTCATGTCGGGAGTAATTTTTGGCTTGATGGCTTCAGAGACAATATTGAGGTTATCACTAGACTGCGAGGTGAACATAAGCCATTTGTACTCTGCCACTGTGTGTGCAATCTTTCCTTCCTCAAAAAACGCTCGTCCCTCATCGTTTTTAATGACAGAGAACTTGTTTCTTGCTCTTTGTTCTCTTACTGCAGTGTGGAAAACACCAGAGTTACTGTCTCCACTCTGCAGTCATTGGATTCTGCTTCTTTGCCTCCAGAAGAGTTCATCTTCTTCATACGATTTGGCTAGCACCAAGGAAAGACTATTAATCAGCGGGGTATTTGGGGTTAGAGCAGAGAGAGCTTTCTCGAAGGCCTCTTGGTCTGATTTGATCTGGGACATGGTTGTCTGGTTTTGCTCCATGGTCTATTGGATAAGCTTTTGGCGGACTCTACAAATCTTAGTCATAACAGATTCAGTAGTAGGTGATGGCCAGACGTTTTCCATGAGCTTGCGAATTTTTGGCTTCTCCCTCAGTCTTGTATTAAAGTGAAATAAACCTTTCTTCTTACGTATAGAGTCATCAAAAAAAGTCATCAAGGGGAGATGATCCGAGCCCTCAAATCTGAGGTATTCACTATAACCCGCGGGGAATAATTCAGACCACGAGCAGGTTGCTAGGGCTCTGTCAAGCCGAGATTGGATGAAGTGATTATAGCGAGTACCACGCCAAGATAATTATTTGCATGAATGTTGTACATCCCAAAACCTGTTTTGGGAGACAAAGCTTCTGAAGGAGAGAAAGGATTTTTCCCATCTGAAAGGACCTCCCACCTTATCTGAAGTGTCTCGGATATCGTTGAATTCCCATGTAGTAAGCCATGCCTCCTTATGGGTTTCACCGAGAGTTGAAAGTTTTTACCAGAAACTGATTCTATTCTCCTTTTGTGGGGCGCCATAAACAAAGAAGATGAAGGAAGAACCCGTGTGTGTCTTGATCCGGACTTCAATTAAGTTGACAGATGATACACTCAGGTTTTACCCAAATAAAAGACTGCAAGTGCACAGACAATCACAGTAATATAGATGGGATCGAATCCACATAGACCAAGGTTACGCTATGATTCTTAATGAATGAAGTGGAGCTAAGAAAATGTGATGACTGCTGAATGTAATGCAAAACGAAAATGGCAATTAAAATTCAATAAAAGATCAATTAAAGATGGGCGTTAGGTAAAGGACAATTCGCAGGGATCAGAGATCATGAACCAGACAATTATTCAGGGAACAGATAAGCACAGTCTTGAACTCAAACATGAATGTATAGCTAATCCACTGTCGTGGTATCAGAGACTCTATCTAACAACCTAAGATTCTAAACTGTCGTTTGAATTTAGAATTGTAAACAGGCATTAGCGATCAGGTTCGATTTGTTCACAGATTGCCTTAACATTAGCTTTCGTTGGTTAAGGACATTCTGCTCATCTATGTTCTTTCAGGCTTTTAAACAAACACTTTTGGTGTGCTAAACAACCTAGAATCAGAAACTGGGTAGCTAATTAAGTTTCAGCAATGAGATCAACGATAAATGAAGACAACAATTGAAATAACCCTATCTATGTCTGATTCAATAATTCATAATCCCATTGAAACCCTAAACCTAACTGGTGGATTACTCAGACATGGAAGAAGAAGAAAGGCAAAGAGATGAAGAGAAATTCATAAATAATAAAATAGAAATCAACTGGGGTTCAGAAATCTTCTCAGAGATGCAGAGTACAAAGATCGTCTCCCCAAAACTCACAAATTGCCAAAAGCTCTAAGTCTCAATGAAAAATAAAGGTAGCCTAAACAATGGCTGAAATTTCAGTCTTTATGGGTCTAGACACGAGCTAGATGAAAAATTATAAAAAACCAAGTCGAAATAGGTAAAACCGAAATTTCCTTATTTTTCTGCGCGACCAAACCGGCTGGTTAAGGCATCGGATCGATCGGTCCAAAGTTGGATCGATCGATCTAAATACTCTCGGGAAATCCTGGTCTCATCGGAACGATCGGTCTCTCCCGGATCGATTGGTCCAAAATGTCTCGGGGAAACTTCGACCAAACGGATCGATCGATCCAGTGTGGGATCGATCAATCTAAAATCTCTCGGGCAAATCTTTGGCTTTCGGATCGATCGATCCCTCACGGACCGATCGATCTAATATCTCTCGGGCAAATCTTGTCTCCTCGCTTCCTTTGGATCGATCGATCCAATATAGGACCGATCGATCTGCACTCCAGAAAAGACTGAATTTGCTCCTTTTCTTCATTTCTTCCTTTGCACTGCCTTGGAATCAATCCAAACGTGTTTTGACCTGTAAAGACTCTAAAAACACTAAAAAGACTCGATAAAAACCTTTGAAAATCAGTTAGAAATCAATAAAATCATAGTATATCAACAGAGGAATCCAAGATTTCCAAGTCCACATCATCTCGCCATGAAAGGGATAGTCCTCCACTCAAACCCAAAGGTGGCACAGTGAAGTGATTGGTGAGATCCGTGCCTTGGAATAGCATGAGGACTGCTGCATCTTTATTTTTGGTTCCCATTAGAAAAATTATTTCAGGGGAAAAACGAGAGTTAATTTCCTTTAGACGATGAACTGTTAGGGTGTTTCCAATCCCTTGGCAGTTGCAGCTCAAACACGCTAAGGAAGAAGGTTTCAAGGTGACCAAAAATCCGCCTCCTTTCTGTTTATTGCCAGAATAATATTGATTGGAGGGTCTGCCACCGGTACAGATATCAGGGACCCCTGGTTTTTCTGATCAATGGGTGCAGTTTCAGGAGCATCGATGGCCAAATTTCTTCGGGGGGATAAGTTAGTACGAGTGACACGCCGTTTCTTAAGGCTAACTCCCTGTAGAGGACTCCTGTTGCCTCGCTTTTTCGAGGTTGCTGCTGAGTTCTTTTTCCTCTCCACCATCTTGCAAGAGGTGGATTTTGGTGCGCGACCTGGATCGTACGGAGGAGGAGCCAGCGTATGTTAAGGGGCCCAATCTGAGGGAGACATGGAGTTTGTCTTCATTGAGGGTTCTGATTGGTGAGAGATTCCTTATTGCCGTCACCCCATTCAAGAGAATTCTGGAACTCGAGGGTATTCGCATGCCTACTGATTGAGCGCTAATGGTTTCTTCCAAATATTGGATGGCAACATCTTGAAGTCTACCCGAGTCGGAAGTGCCTTCTCTAGTTACCGGGGAATGGTCCCTACGAAAGGTTAAAGCCATACGTTCCAATGCTGGGCGTTGATCTCTGGAGTTTACTGCTTCCTCTAGAGAGAATTGATGAGGTGTAACTGTTGGGGAACGCTGGGGCTTGGGAGGAGGGGTGGGAGAGACATGCGAGTGATGGGAGCGGGAGGAGGGCATCTCGGATATATCAGCCCCCAAGCTTCAGCAGGAGTCTCTGTTAGGGATTCTTTGGTTACGTGAATCCCGAGATTTTTCAGTTGTTGGGTCCCCATACCTGGAGCTAGAGCGATCAAGCCTATGTGAAGATACATGTCGGTTGTCCCTGTCCTCTGGGAGATGCCGTGAGTTATCCTGGTAGCTATCTCGTCTTGCCTCCGAAGTATGGTGGCGGGATTTCAAAGCCATGATTCTATCCTCTTGGTGACGGGGCTGAAAGGTTCTCTGTTGGGTTTTTTGGTGAGTGTATCTTGTGGCTCTCAATTCATCCTGTCTACACTTATCCTCTTTGATCCTTTCAAGCGTCTGCCGTTGACTAATGCCCAGGTTTCCATCCAGACTGTTGGAAGAGATAGATCTGGAGGATGTGAGGCCTGGGCAATCCTTCTTCTCATGGGTAAGAGAGAGATAGTTGAAAAAATGTTTTTCCAATCTCTCATTCTCAAATTCAACCTCTTTGATTTCATCCGTTGGGAGCTCAATGTCCATTTTCATTTCCAGAGGTTTTAGCCCATTAACATGAACTCGAATCCTTCCATTTTCCACCTCTCGCCCTTCAAAGTGTCCAAGTTCGAAGCCGATGGTGCGGATTGTTTGATCAGACCAGTAGTGTAATGGTATTCCATGGATCCGGATCCGGAAAGGAATCAAACAGGGGAAATTTTCGAGACGATTGGCTCCCAGCATTGAAGAATGATCATCCACTTCTTGAAGTGAAAGGGAGCTTTGTTGAGGATAGCTTGTAGATCTTGTTTTGTCTCAAAATGAAACTGGAAAGATTGGGGCCTAGATCTCGGCCAGTGATGGTGCCTACACCATTCAAGTGTTGTAAGAAAAAGTCCACTAGGGATCTTGTATTCTGGATCCTAGGATTTGTTACCCTGCCAATAAGGGTGAGCTTGTTCTTCTCAATAAGAGCTGAGTTGTCACTTTCTGGAATGCGAACCGGAGCTTTCCTGGGAGGTCTCCTTGAACTTTCGAGCCATTTTTCCTTTTCTGCTCTTGAGTACCATTGAGACATGCCTTGCTTGTGAGATAAGCTGTTATTAGGGTAGAGATGCTTCAGATCTAGAGATGTAACCTTCAACCACTTGGGTAACGGGGGGATAGGGAAGATCTCTGTAAAGACTACAAGAGGGGCTTGACAAGTCCTCATAAGCGAGGTAATGACCCAAAGAGAGGGAAGCTGCACGAGGGCAGTAAGAGTTTCAGCTAGAACACACTTCACTCAATGAGGGTGGAAAATTTCACCAAATCCATCAAGCAAACAAACGGAACAGGCTGATGGGGAAGTGTTGGAACAGTCGGAGAACCACCGAGAGGATTCCCTTGGGTGATGTCGGAAGCGGCGGGAGGCAGGGGCGAGACGCTTCATCCAGCGGATAATGAGGTGGTTACAACAGCTATCTTTTTTATTCAGAGGATAATAGGATGGTTAAACCTTTTCTCGAAATCGTGTCTGGGAGCGTTTTTTTAGAAAGTATATATTTTTTTATGTTATAAACATTATATGTCCTTATTTTTTTAATTAGCAAATTTTTAATTTACTATCAAATACTAAAACGTTTGAATATAATTACGAAAATATGAAGTATTTAGTATTATTTATTTGTGTTATTAACTTTTTTTATTTTTTTGAATTTTTTGTTTTTCAAAAACTTTGTAACTTTGTTTGTTTCTTGAGCACTTTTTGATATCTATTATAATTAGGCGTAGATCGAGAGAGAGTGTAATAAGATTCTCGTATAATTATTTATCTCAAATATGGTTCTGTTATTTTTGGTTCAGTTCAATGAATTTTAAACTCAAACTCAACTTTTTTACTTTTCTTATGTGATTATATGCAAGACTTAAAATTGTAAGTATGAAATAATGTAAGTTTTTCTTAACTAATTAAATCAAGTTCAATAATATTGCAAACATATTAACATTGGCTCAAAGGAACAAAGATAACCTTAAATTATGACTGATCATAAATCTTTTATTTTAGGATGTGATCTATCAAATCTCATATGAACCCAATCTCTATCTTTGATCAGCCACAACAATACACTGCTAAATTATTGCATCAGTTTGAAGCAAACTGATTTTTTTACTCTACACTTTCTCTTTCAAATTTTTTGCCTTCCAATATAATAACTTAATGATACAAGACTATAAAATATGCTTGATAAAAAAATATCAAAAATCTAAGATTAAAAAATATTAAAATATTATATAGAAACTAGGGAAAATATATTTTTCAAGACCTTTATTTTTTGCATAAATCTCTGAAAATATCATATAATTTAGAACATCATATAATAAAAAGTACTATTAAATTAGTACTACTACTACAATAACCAGATCATACTTTATATTGATAAGCAAGAAAAATATAAAATATATCAAATATGTACTTTAATTTCTATAATAGTCAGTAGTGTATATATTAATTAAAGCCTAACCTTTTCTACAGTTGTTGCTGAGGTTGGAAAACTTCGATTATTATTTCACATATTCATTTGCACATATCTTAATTTTCATGTTCTTAGTATTTGTCTCACATTCCTGATCGAAAAGTTGTTGTAAATTAAAGATCCAAAATTTTCACCAAAAAATCTGAAGATAGTTTTCAAGATAGCATTATTAAAGGTTGATTGGTTTTTAGGAGCAGGAAACTCTAGTTTGCTTCATTATCACTAAATACTTTGAAAACCATGATTGTCATTACGATCTAAATATTTCAAATAATGCAAGTGAAATTATTCATCTATATTGAATGGAATTATGATGTATATTAAATTTATAAAAACGTTTATGTTTTCTTTCTCGAGTTTCTCCTCTTATTTTTTCAAAACATATTTTTTTTTACTCACTTTCAACCATTTTGTTATCTCTATTTCTAAGAAGCTAAGTATCTCGATTCACATACTCTTTTAATCTCTCAACTTTAGGTTAAATCTTAAACTTCTCAAGAACAATTTAATAGTACATATTCACAATTTCATTCTGATGGCTGGATGTTGTATCAGAACATGCTTGAAAATTTGGGTTCCATAAATAAATCCATGCTGTACAAAAAGAATAAAAGGTGTCAGCTCTTTCTTTGGAATTCTATTTTTACAGTTTTTACTTAAATACGTTTTTTAAAATATATTTTTTCTTTTCTTCTTGTATAATTTATTTTTAAACATTATGATTATTATTAATAAAGATTTTATTATGATCTCATCTTATATTATTGAATTATTACATAGAATCATGGTTATGATGTAGAAGGAGAGTGTGGTTAATGCGGCAGAGGCTAACTGTGGGCCGAAGAGGTTGCAGCTCGTGCCTATGATGAGACGAGCGAAGACCGAGCCAGAAACGTAGGAAATTCTCGCATTTCTGATGTATGTGGCGGTGCGATTAAGGTTTTTGCGGATGACTGGAAGCTGATGCAGAGTTGCGAATGTGGAAAAGATATGTGAAATAAAAGAGTGTTGCTTTGTTTGAGCTTTTTAATGTGGTTACCATATCAAATATTAATATGATGTGTTAAAAGAGTGTCAGTTTATTTGGACTTTTTAATGGGTTTGAAAAAAACAAAAACAAAAGTTACCAAAAATAATATTTGAGTTTTTAATAGGTCTAGGTTAAAAAATAATAAAAATTAGTATATGATATGTACTAACTAAAAGTTCTGGTTGGTTTTTAATTTTGATTAAATGTCAGTTTTAAAGACATTAAAAAATCTAATGTATCAAATTATAAAGAGATTTTGGTGTTTTTAGTGGTTTTGATGAAAAATGTGACTTAATTAGTTATGGAGGATTTGGTCAAACAAGGCGACACTCTAATTTGGTCAAACGTACATTACATCATTTATATTTACGTTAATTTGGGGATCAGTTGCTTTATCATGCTCTCCATACCTTGACATATACTTTTCATAGAGAGATATTAGTGTTTCTAAATTTTGTATAGACTTTTAATATAATAAAACTATTTTATAATGTAAATAAATATTATATTTATTTTTTATTACCTTAAGTTATGTTTTTTTTTTGGCAAATCAATTATATTGATATAAAGAGTTTAAAAAAAACATAATTAATACAAGCAACGTTACGTAAATATAGAAAATTGAAACAATTTTGATAAAAAAAGTCAAATATAATCTAGCTATCCTTACAAAAGGCTTACATGCTAACAGAAATTTTCTGTTATATCTTCTCTTCACATAGTTTTTATTGGCTATCAACTTGCTGATAAAAATCCAAAATGTCTATGACATTATTTTAATTTGTAAATATAAATTCAATTTTGGTGTAAATGATTTTGAATCTTGTTGCTTCTTTAAAACCAATGTCCTTGATACTTTTGGTAGAAATCCTCCATGTTCTTTTGAATGGTTCCATAGTTTTCTTGCTCAGTAGTAAATTAGAAAACCTCCGGCGATTTGAGAAACCACGAAACGGTTCCTTTTGACTATGGTATTGGTTTCTGCTTGCATTCGGAGTTGCCTTATTCCATTGGTAGATGTCTCACGATCTGTATTGGTGATGTCATCTTCGATAATAACATGATTGTGTTGATGTTTCCATGGAGGTTTCCAAGGAAAACCATAAAGTTTTGTTCCAAACTTTTCCAAATCAAAACAAACATTCCATCGAAGATAGTATCTATTGGAGACAAATAACCGGAACTAACCAGACAAACACCGCCGATGACTAGGGGACACCACCAATCATCGAATGGAAAGAAATTCGTCGAAGAAGGCAATCAAATATATATCCTTTGCATATAGTTTGTCTCATGTGGAGACAATTGTATCATCCCAACCATAATGTAAAATTGACCAAACCAAAACCAAAGTCCTTTGGGCCAGATGATAATGGGCCACTCACATGAAGAAAATAGAGAAGTGGACACGTTGGGCTACAACAACATTAAGGCCCATTAGATTAATGTTCATGTTAAGTTTATAGGGTTTTATGTATAGATGCATATATATCCCTCCCCTATATCTTGTGCCGTAAGGTTAATCGAGATCTCTCTAGGGCTTCTTGTAATCTAAAAACAGAGCTTGTATTCTCAGATTTATAGTGGAAGTTGAGGGCAAGAGATCCCTCCCCAGACGTACCGGTTCGAGGCCGGGAACTGGGTGACCAAACTCGTTGTGTTCTTTCTTTGTTGCAGAATTATCTTGGTGTTGCAGAGAGGTTTAAAACCTAACAAGTGGTATCAGAGCATCAGGTTATTTGGACTGCACATCAAGGCTGATCCGCTACATCACCTGTTACAAAAGATCGCAGGTTAGTAAACACAAAGTTAGTTCAATCAAACATTCATGGAACCTACACAAGAAAGGTTCGAGATGGATAAGTTTGATGGTAAAGGAGATTTCGGTATGTGGAAATACAAGCTGCTAGGTCAGCTTGACATCCAGGGTCTTCTATCTGTTTTGGACGAGAACTTTAGCGTTTTGTCAACTACTGGAAAAGGTGAAGAAGGATCAATTACCAAGGTTGATCTGAAGCTAGTAGATAAAGACCGGAGGGTAAGAAGCTTATTGGGAACATGTCTTAGTGACTCGATCTTGAGGAAGATAATGCACGAGCCTACTGCATTGGGACAATGGCAGGCTCTTGAAAAGAATTATCAGAAGAGGTCTCTTCCCAACAAGATATACCTAAAGAAGCAATTCTCTTGTTACAAGATGGAAGAAGATAAGTCAATAGAGGAGAACGTTGATGTCTTTCTGAAGTTAATTGCAGACTTAGAAAGTCTTAAGGTCACTATATCAGATGAAGATTAGGCTATCCAGCTCTTATCAGGACTTCTACCAGCTTTTGAACAGTTAGTTCACACGCTTCAATATGGAACCGGGAAGGAGACACTTACGGTGGATGAAGTTGTCACTTCAGCCTATTCCAAAGAAGCTGAACTCAAGCAGAAGGGACTACTTTACAAAAGTAGAGCAGACACAGAAGGATTGTATGCGGGATCAAGAGGCCGAATTGATTCAAAAGGAATTTCTAAAAACCGGGGCAGATCAAAGTCAAGGAAAGGATTTGATAAAGACAACACTGGTTGTTTTCTTTGTGGAAAAGAAGATCACTGGAAAAGAGATTGTCCCGAAAGAAAGAGACATGCAAATTCTGCAACTATTGCAACAGAACCTAAGGAGCCTATGGTGTTGAGCGTTAGCACTCAAGACACAAAGAAGGAATAGGTCATGGACTCAAATTGGTCATACCATAGTACACCAGACAAAGAAGTCTTGTTTGACTTCAAAGAGTTCGATGGTGGCAGAGTTTTGATGGCTAATAACACTTATGGTAGCATCAAAGGAATGGAGAAGATTCGGATTCAGAATCTAGATGGTTCTGAGGTGATAC